TAGAAAAATGGCTTTATCTAAGTTTAAGGAACTTTTAAAAAAGAACGAAATCGACTATTCCGTATTTTAGCGAATTTAAAGCATAGGGATCCCGGTTACCTTACTGGTTTGGCTTACCCATGAAACACAAATCAGAAATCTTAACGACACCAATATTATTGATGGTCAGGTCATCTCTTCATAAATTTTCCTACTGGTTAGTGAAAATTTTACACTCTAGAACAGAATCGAATTCTCACAAAATCTAGAAATTTTAGGTGCCTTTGATAGATTCATGGTACCATTCGACTTCTCTATACTTTACACAACGATCTTGTTGGCAGAAACTTTTAAAATAATAAGTTCATACCTTAACATTCTTCTTATATATGTATATAATTTCTAATAGCAATAATTGTAATTACAAGTAGATGACCAATTTAATGATTATAAATATCAATAATTACCTCATTAAATGATTTGTAATATGGTCTATTACGTCCCGTTCTTAAATAACTGGAGACTCTTCTTAAATGATTCTCACGCTTTTCATCAAGTATTGCTCTGAAATATGTATTTCCTCGTTAGTATAAGTTCAAAACAATTTTACAGAAAATTTAATGATTATCAGTATAAGGGTTTCTGAAATTTATTGAATGTTGTTGAGATCAAGAATCAATGTAAGTTAGACTACGATTGAAAATCAGGAAACGTTGAACAGCTGTTTTGTTCTAGTACGTTACTCCTACACAGTTTGTATCTATGACTTAATTGAGTAGACAACCCATGACCTTCAAGTTTTACAATGAAAGTTTAACTTTTTAGACTAACGAATAAGCATAGAGTGATCTATATGTTTAACATCAATTAATTCGCGATACTTCACATCCATCGTGCATTGTCTTTAGTGGGTACCTATTTTGAATTCCATACAGTCTAGTACGTCTAAATTTTCAAAATTTGTTTAGCTTAGGTTGATTCGTGGTTTCTTGAAAATCAGATAAGCTGTGCTTGAATTTATTTGGGAATGTTTTTTCGGACAACTTTTAGGCAACAGAAAGATAAAAGCGTAGGTTTATTGCACTGACATTCAATCAAAACGGTTGAGAAGTATTGACGTCATTCGCTTTTATTACTAAAGTTATACAAAGTTGATCAATGAATTTATTTGTTTACAAACATTTGACTAGCATCTCTCGAATAATAATAAGTTGAAACGATTTCCCCCATTGATCTAATTTACTTAAATGTGAAGTAGTGTACATAGATAGATATGATGTGATTGGTACTTGTTTACGCAACCACGGCTAATACGTAGTGGCCAGACTTGCATATTATGGTGACTCAAATTAGTTATATTGAACACTTGTTCCTTTAGGTTGTGATATGATGGGTGTGTCAGTTGCAGAGAAGTAAGGCTTTAGACATCAAGCTCGAGTTGCAAAAGTGACATCGGAATGCTCATTGTACTGAGATATTACAGTGATGTATTCCCACTTCCATTTAATAACAATGAATCTATCCTTGTTCACAATGAAATACCCATTTCTTTTTTGAACAACACTTTCCGTTTAGCTCGATTTTTATTTACATTTTAAGTGACCAATTCAAAAATAATCACGTAGATAAAGACTTAAAGCTGCACTTATGAAAGTAAATGATCAAATAATCTTTAAAACAACTATATTGCACCCAACTTTAATATTAACCTAGGTTTTATTAAAGAGAAAAATAGTTGTTAGTAAAAGATGTGAACTGCGGAGTCCCATATTATGGTGACAAGGGCTTCCAGTTCTTTCACACTTGCAATGGTGGTCTAAATTAGATCGGTTCATGAATTCAATGAAAGAAATATGATTATTTCGCAAGACAATACTTGGTACAACCAACCTACTTTTGTAAATTGCTAACAGTTATTTCATAAGAAGTATTCCATTGATGTAAGTAGTTTGTAAGATTTTCAAATCCTACAGGAGATACTAATATGTACATTGAGTTATTATTATGTCTTGGAAACGACCATATATCATAATTCTCCTATATAAGGGAAAATAACAAAAAAGAATGATTAGGAACTAAATGTAGTTTTAAATTTTATAATTTGCATCACTGACTGGTCTTAGTTAGCCAACCATTGAAAATTAGGAAGAATAACTCTGTCTTTTTGTCATCGTGTGGAACTATTGAGAAGTATGCATTTATAACAATAAAATGGGTCGAAAGTAGGGACCTCAGGTTTCGAGATAAGCCTGCTTCCAATGGTTTGAACATCTAAATTCAAACGACTTACAAGATTGTTTTTGTAAATTTAGGCAACATATTATTTAACATTTCGACATTATTTTGACAAACTGTTTAACACCCAAGTATATATAGTTAATCTGGAAATATGATCAGGTTATAAACAAGTAAACTAATGTGAAACATTTACAACTGATTGATTACTGAATAGTGAGTGATGCCATGTTTGTCTAATCATCTAATGCTGGTTGAATTTTACCAATCAAGTTATATTGTAACCACTAGTGTTAAAATTACATGCAATATTGTGGAACGTTAGGTGATTGATGAGTGTTAGTAGTAGAAACTGGTCCACATCAATTTCATGCTACTTGGGATACGTCAGCAAGTTGTACTTATAATCGTGCTGACGATTGCTCAATATAAATAAACCTATGTACGAAATTTCCTGTTGGCTCCCTCCGACTGCTTGATATGAAATATTTATTTCATTTTTCTAGTATATTATTGTTTTCTAATATAAAAATATAGAATTCAAATGTTTTATCTGAAATTTTTAATTTCCATTCATTTTCTTTATCTTTAACATTTTTCACAAAATTTAAATCAAGTTTATTGAAAAATATTTCGACAGTTTCATACACTACTAATATCACCATTACTGCTCCTACGACGACGACTACCATTACATCAAACATTCCTGTGCCCTTTTCTGATATTTTATTTCCGTTTCACATATAAAATAATTAAACACAACTGAGATAGTTGTTTAAATTAATCAAAATTAAATGTATACTACGAGAACATTCTGAATTTTTAAATCAGCATGTATCTTATTTGCCGGTTTCTCATTAAGTTAGTTATGACGTACAGTTATTAATTGGAAAACTCGTAGAAACAAAGACTCACTGATAGGTAGCTTCGTCCTGTTGTTGTTCAGGATTCATATGTTTCATTATTTTTAATGTCTAGGTTACTTTGTATCAAAGGATCCGTATCAATTGTGAAAACGCTTAAAGCTAGAAAACAGTGGTCAAGTATTTCATCCTAAAGTGAGACAGTTCAGACATGCACTAGGAACACCCTACTTCGGATTGGCACTAGGCTTTTCAAAATACACAGAGATCAGCTAATCTCTAAATCGCTGATTTGAAATCCAATGGTGTAAGTATTACGCACAGAACAAAATGATAGACGTTTCTAATTATGGATCTTTGGGAGGGTCATGGGTGACTCCTGTCGACGGTACGTGGATATCAAGGACACACATTATAAAGGCGGTTATTCTAGTGTTATCATTCATTGATATTCGGTCTATTATTAATTTATCACTAGTTCAGTTTCCTGAAATTGAAATGAATTATCAAGTATCGATTTCAGTAAACGTATGACTGGCTATGAAACAAAATAACACGAAATTAGATTGACAAAATGAATAGAGAAGTAGTTGAAATAATTGTTTCAGCAATGATAATGAGGAAGACTAAACATGTAGAGTACGGTTCAAAAAGGCAAGACGATCAACAGTCATAAACTTTATGAATTTATGACGTTTTTTTGTTTATTCCTGAATTTTTTCTAATCAACGTCTACACGAGCAAAAATCATCCAGCGAGGTATGGGACACTTGTACATCCATTTAGATAACTTGCTGATATTCCGACAGAACATGAATAAACGCAACAACTGAGAATGTCTACTATTTTATGAATACATTTCATACTAATCATCGATAGTCCGATCAAAAAGCCTTCATCGATTGATCGGCCTTCACCTTGATCTAAAATATTCAATGTACTGATTCATCAATGTTGTTTACGATTGTGTATATAATGACTACTTGGCTAATTAAAACTGGACAATAAAATTTATTGATCAGCATTTCAAATAAATTTGGTGTAAAATTATCGTAGTTTATAGGTATGATTATGTTGTTACAAAAAGTGATAAAATAACTATAGATCCTTGATTTCTATCGTTTACAGATTGGTTATCATGAAAATTGTATTATCATTGAAATGAAATCGATAAGGAACCTACCGGTTCGTTAAGATTTAGATTAATAATTGTATTTATAATTTGAAGATCTGAAATTCTCATTCGTAACACTTTGTAACTGTCAAAACAAATTTTCAAAAAAATCAATATAAGAAAGGATTACGGTCATGAAAAATATAAAAAATAATGAAAAAATTATATTACTAAAATACTGAATACATATATTGTTTGTATGAACTAATAGTTGTTTTGTACTTCATGGCTGTTTGATCGCCAATTCTAAATAAAATACGTTCATTTGTGCTCACCTAGTTCTACTTGTTGTAAATTAAACTGTTTCGGGAATTCCTAGTTCGTATAATAATTCGAATACTTCTAATTATTTAAATACTATTTATAGAATTAAAAACTTAGAATAACTTTGGAATAAAACACAACGATATAACTATACTACTTCGATAAACAATGAATACCTTCAGGGTATCTGTTATATCCCCTGGTGAATGATGAATGGTAAATCTGAGGTCTATTATGGACAAATGTAATATGTCTATTTCCTATTGTATAGTTGTTAAATAACTGACCTAACCGTATTCGTGTTCCTCTTATCATAACCTTTATTTTGACCTTTGAACTATTGTTATTGATTACTTTCCCCCTATCCATAGCCACATTGGCCAATTACTGTACAAATGTTATTTTTCTATTTTTTTGGTATAATTGGGTCTGTTTGGTTAGTATATATATACCAGTATGCTTGTGAATAATGATTCATATTGCCGAGGCTGTTATTTGTGTTCTGGACTTAACGGGCTGGGCTAGGCAGATAGGAAGGACCGAATAGCAATCAAGACTGCTCGTACGTATTTTCGGTATCATTGCACGTCCATATCATTTTACGAGATTGCATACGTCATAACAATTGGCGACGGGTGAAAAAAAATGGCTCTAACTTCCAACCAATTTCAGTTGCTAATCCAGCAACTAGAACAGCTCGTTAGAAAGAGTCAATTGGATTTCATTGACAAATTACACGCGAAGCTGCTGAATCACCCATGTTTTGGGGGTGAAACGGAAGTTGACGCAATAATTTCAAAATTGCGTACGGAGCTGGAAAACGATTACAGAACTAATGAATATGCCGGCGAAAGCCTCAATGAATCCGTACAAAACAGTAATTTAAATGCAGCAGTAGCAGTCCTACATGATCAGCCCAGTAGTCCGGTACTGCCTGTTTCAGACACATGCCCTATACACGGTCCAAGTCCTATTAACCCCGTAAACGGACGTGCAAACAGTGATTCAACCTCTTTACAGAAAGACAATGTTTTGCTAAATGCCCATGAAATTGCTGCAGTACCCGCCCACGAAGAAACGGGGAACAAACCGAACAGTATAGTGAATACAGTGGCGCCAAATGAAACTAATCATGATGAAAAAAATTTTTCTAATGAATCTAATGATCAAAATTATCTAATTGTTCTGCCAGATCCCGATTATTTCGCTGATTCATATGTTCCTGTTCAAATCTCTTATAAAAATGTGAGAAAAATATCGGATGCATTAAATGATAATCAAGAATCCAATACAACTCTCATAGATGCTGATTATCCTAATGTTTCATTATCTACTAATGAGGTTCCGAGGAAATTCAAGGGAACTATTTCAGAAGAATCAAATGTTGGTGACCTCAAATCAAATGTCGTCGATCCTCATGATCTCGTCAGTTCTAATGGATTCCCTGTTAAATGTGTCAAACATGACAAACATATCGAAATAATAGTAACTTGGTTATATGAGGATCCAACAGTCTTTCGTGGGGGAGGGGGAATTCGAGAAATTTAAAATCCGGATATGAACTCCGGATTTCTCAAAAAGGGGAGGTGTTATATCCCCTGGTGAATGATGAATGGTAAATCTGAGGTCTATTATGGACAAATGTAATATGTCTATTTCCTATTGTATAGTTGTTAAATAACTGACCTAACCGTATTCGTGTTCCTCTTATCATAACCTTTATTTTGACCTTTGAACTATTGTTATTGATTACTTTCCCCCTATCCATAGCCACATTGGCCAATTACTGTACAAATGTTATTTTTCTATTTTTTTGGTATAATTGGGTCTGTTTGGTTAGTATATATATACCAGTATGCTTGTGAATAATGATTCATATTGCCGAGGCTGTTATTTGTGTTCTGGACTTAACGGGCTGGGCTAGGCAGATAGGAAGGACCGAATAGCACCCAAGACTGCTCGTACGTATTTTCGGTATCATTGCACGTCCATATCATTTACGAGTTTGCATACGTTCATAACAGTATCTTTCATAAGGTTATTGTAATTACAACAAACTTGAAACTTTCAACATCTCAACCATTTCGCACACTTGTAATTAAGAAGTATCTCTTTACATTCAAACCAATATTGATCAGTTTTAAACAAAAGGATTCTTATTCAGTACCAATCACAGAAAAATAAAAAGGTAGAGAAATAATGTTGAATAATGAAAGCGTTTGAGTGATAAATAGAACACTAACTATATCATTAAACTATACTTGAAGAATTGTTGATTATAAAGTGTGGAGAATACCTTATTAGCTAACATTTTGAAGAGATGTATTATAGCAACCATCCTACAATCACTTTCGATTATAGCCAATTTTGGTTAAGCCCTTTTTTATAACCTACTTAACAGACATCGTCATTTGGATAGCAACAATTTGCATATTCTTTGCACTGCTATACCACTAGAGCACATGACATTCTAGCCGAAATGTTGACTGCTTAAATATCATTCGATGACTTATACACCTCCCCATATATGTACGCACGCAAATATTATTATCAGCCTTTGTTTTGCTTTGCTGTGCCCTTATTAAATTTAACTATAAATTGCCTATGTAATTGCTTGCTATTCGCTCGCTTGCCGCTCACTCGCTTGCCGCTCACTCGCTCGTTCATATTCGCTCAGGTGTTGTTAGCTTTCGAACCTGAGTCACTCGACAATAAACTGTAGTTGCTGCTATCCTTTGTCTTCTGATTTTACGCACCGTTAAGATTAGAATCATAACGGTTATCGAAGTAAACGATTAACGAATCGCGGCACTACAGTATTATAAAAAAACCTCTCAGCTGTTAGTGATTTCTTCACCTGTCTATAGCCACTATTGTGTGTGTATTTATTTTATTAACAATAAGATATACCTGAATAATCATAATGGTTGATTATGATATCCTCAAAATTTTAATTATAATTTAATAGCATATTGTCAAGGTTAAAAGTAAGAAACTGTGTTCAGTTTATTTATTTAATTTTATGTAAACAAGCTATTTTATCCATAGATGATAATTAAAGTTCATTTTATGAAATATATAAGAAAGATAATTATCCTTAGTTTAACAATAGATTGAAAAAAATTTGCACCATTCCATAAACATATTACCAAATTCATTATTATTATTATTATTATTATTATTATTATTATTATTATTATTATTATTATAGACAGAAATAATGTATTCAATGTACTCGGAAAATATATCATTAACAATATCTCATTTTAGTGGGATAATTATATACCTTTTTTAGCATAACAATAATTGTCATTTTTAGACAAGAAGCAACTAGAGGTAAGCGGAGTCTGTAACCAATCCTCTTGTCATCCCAAAGACATAAATAATATTGTCGGTATTATCTCATTTTACTACTTTGTATCAACATATTTCATAACAAACATCATGATGGGGACCGCACTTACAATTTTTTCAAAATGTTTCTGATTATAGTAAAAAATGATTTACATTATATACAACATTATTTATCCAATAAAATTGAAGTCTTCATTCAGTGAGTATATTTCGAGTTCTGTTCCATATTATAGTTTTCCGTTATTCATGTTAAATAACAATAATATGATGGAAAATATGATGGAAACTCATAAAAACATTTATGTGGTATGAGTTGAAAAACTCATAGGAAGATTTAATGTACATTTTTCATTAAGAGAGTAAGACATACTTTCTAAAGTACAACAATTTGACCATAATTATATTAAAATTTTCAATTCATTAGTTTACCTTCAATTTAAAGCTTCTTTCATGATTTGCTTCAATTAGTAGTTAATGCTTTTTACAATATATTTCATTCTCGAGTTTCATCGAAATTACTGATTTCTGCTGATGGTAATAAACTATATTAAATTAATTGTATTATTTCTTGTGATTAGCAAGTTTAAGTAAGAAAAGGCTAAGTATAGTTTACTTATGTATAGTTAACTATTTTTAAATATAAACTAATTAGAAGATTACACGTTTATTCTGCTTTATGGTAATTAATCATCTGAATATGTTCAACCGGCCAGCTTGACCCTATGGAATGTTGCTACTCAGTCGTGCATGATTCATCAATCAGTGTTTTTTTCTCAAATAAGCTAATAAATTCTCAAAAATTATTTATCAGGATTATTTTTCGTTGTTCGGCGAAATTCAACAAAGTCATTCTACTTCTGTTGGATATACTTATACTTTATTCATGTTTTGGACTACAATCTTGGGGTTAAACCATTGAAATCATTAAATTAACTAATTTGGCCTATAGGGTTAGAGTTAGGATTGTGGATGCGCACTGCTAAAGGTCCCTATACTGAGACGAAACAGCCGTCCAGTGCTTCCAAGTTTCCCATGCTGATCTAGTTTTAATTGACTCATGAATTCTACTATTAAATGTAATCTGTTTAAAATAGTCTGTTAGTCATCTCCAAAATGCTTACTACCGTGAAATATGATGACTCATATCCGACTAACATATTCACTAAGTTTTGTTTATGATGAAATTATTTCTAACCCACTGATAAATTTTCACCATAACTTTTTTAAAGTTGATGATCACCAACGACATATTTAGCCATAAAGAGTACACATAGACATCTTAAGTCTTGCAAACTCTTGGCAGGTGTTATCTTATCAGATACTAACCATCCGCTTCATTCATGTCTTTCTCTTTGTATATCTTCTGGTAGAACGAGACGTAAGTACATTAAAATCCATACACGCAAGCAAATCTATAAAAGTTCTGTAATACCTTACCTAGCAAACTTACTTTGTGACGAACAGGCTGTTAGAGTTGACCTAGTAAATAACCTGTGTTCTTAAGCATGTTTCAAATTCGATAATTTGTATAAACTCAGATTTTCTTAAACCTTTTTGTTTATTACTCTTTTGTTTTTTTTGTTTTTTGTTTTTTTAGTTTGCTTTTTTTGGTAAAAAGCTTGTTGAAATAACTCGTACTGAGAATTCTATATTGTACCAGATTATAATGTTGAATAAAGCCATTAATAATAATATCAATAATAATAATAATAATAAAATATCAACGTGGATTTCGTTGTATTGAACTGCCCTTCAGGAAGTCAGTTGTGATCAGAATAGCTTAACGGTAAGGTCTCACACTGTGAAACTGGATGACACGAGAAAGAATCCACCAGAGAGTATCACTTTCCTCAAGATTACAGGTGCACTTGGCTAATGAGTGCCAAATACCATGAAACCAAGGTCACCTGGTTTCCTATCGCTTACCTCTAACTATCACCGTATATTATAAATTAATGCTTACTTTAATACATGTTCACAAATTTAATTATTTGTCCACTTCCTGAAATCACCTAATTACATCATCTCTAGATTTTCAGAGGTTACTTACTTTTTTGTCGATAGTGAATTCAAAAAGTGTTTTTTTTTATTCAGTTAAGCAAATAAATGTTTGCTGGCTGATAAGTATATTTCATTTTATAAAATGAACCAACGTTGAGTTATCGTTATCATGTTGTTTATACCGTCGATGGAAAGTATTCAAACATTCATTAAAATAAACATCTATTATGAATGATTATTTTCAAGTAGCCTTATTATGTTTAAGTACAGGATTGGTTTCCTTTGCATCAAAATGATCCTATCTTAATACATTTTTCACAATTTATTGGTGGTAGTCAATGTATGGTGATATGATTGTTTTGTGTTGCACATAACAATAAAAGTCTCAAAGTTGTATAGTAGATTCCATTGTTAGACACTAACA